CTCTCAAGTTGGGGCCCTATTAAGGTAGTCCTTAATAATTTTGATAATTTTCAGAATTCAATTAGTTATCAAACATAAAAAATGTCTATGAAAATTTCTGCAAAACTCTAGATTCCCAAAAATTTCTGGGAACTAGGTTCCTAGGTTCTGGTACTTTTTCCACCTCTGTGCCTGATTATTGAAACGATTGCTAATGCGATGGGCGCATTAGTGTAGAGGACTTTGTATGACAATAATAGTTTTTTTCTATTTCGCATTATATGAACAGAGCCGGTTGTCGCTCAGTTTGTTGTAATCTATGTTCTTACCTCGAAGTTCATTGATGGTTTGTTCTCCTGGATCAGATTGCCCATCAGCTAAAGCTACACAAAAATACCACGTAATATTTTGATATACATATAAGCCTAAGGCAAATCAAGTAGATTATTTATTTTTTATTTCGTACCCCCTATCGAGGAACATAAATTCTTCACGGTAGGGTGATTTCTTCAGCAGTGAAATGCTACACTATATCAACAGGGATTATTTAGGAGATCTCTTTTATGACAGAAATTCTTCAGGAGTCTAGTAACAACCTTGGGGGGGGGGGGGTGTAATGGAACAGCTCAATTTTAGAAAGCAAGGGAGTTAAGATTCATGATAACAACACGATAATGACCACCCCCGTGGTCCTTTTTTCCATTTGTCCAGATAAGTCGTTGTGGTGTTTGTACCTGTGATAGTGTAACTTCGAGAAGAAACAAGTTCTTTGAAACTGGTCATTTCATCTGAAACAGAAATCTGTTGTTAATTGACTGCATTTACTGGGACTAGAGTGTAATACCAAGGACCAATACCTTTAATAAACTGTATATGTCGCATACATTTGAGCAAAATCAGTTCTAGAAAAAATATGAACACAAAATATCATGGTTTATGGGAAACGACAAAGTAGTACTGCAGGCACGCACAGACAACTATACATACCGCTCCGTCGACCTTCGTTATCGTTTGACAGACCCAAGGGAAGTTCCTCCCGGACTGTTTTTCCACTATGGCGACATAATTGATTTCTAATATTCTGAAGCTCAGCTGGAACAGAAGAGAATACACGGTTGTTTTAGAAATACGAAACACGTCCGGGATTATACGCAGGAAAAAATTTAAATTTCCATCGATGGGTTTTTCAATGTAAAAACTGTGCACAGGAAAATACCATTAATGGTAAATATTAAACAGCATGCTTTTTACCAATTAGCCTTTCTCATGAACGGCCGATTTTTCCTCAATTTTGGGGGAACTACCTTTGTGAGTCTCCGCACCACGAAATACATTTTTTTAGGATTGCAGTTGTACAGTATAATGGTAAATTTATACAGTAGCAACTTTTAAAAGTCGTTTTTCACGTTGTCTCAATTAGCCTTTCTCACGCTGACGAATATCCGCCATTTTTGGGTGGCATCTAATTCTCGTTAACCAATGCAGACAATTAAAACAATGTGAAAAGCAATTTTTCAAAATAAGCTAACCATTCACAAAGCAAATTTACCATTATTCGTCCAAAAAATTATAAAAAGTCGCTGTTATGTGGACTTATCTCGCGGACTTCGGCTGAAAAGCCACCCAAAAATGGCGTCGTGAGAAAGGCTAATTGTCTAGAATCTTTCATGAGGACAGACAGTACCCCAAAACTGGCGGATTTTGGCCTTCGTGAGAAAGGGTAATTTAACATCTATGGGTAATCTGTATTCACCAACGATGGTAAGAATTCAGTTTTTACATTCAAAAACCCAATAATGGAAATTAAAATTTTTTCCTGTGATATTCGCATAAAATTCGTAATAAGGTAATGCCGTTCACCATCATTCATGGCCCCGATTATGTTGAGCCCCAATTTCATCGTAAATATGGGTGTCTGATAATCATCCTTACTTGCAGCTGAGAGCTGAGTTGAATTACGAAGGACGCAGCTCAACCTGATCCAGTCGAAGGCTTTCTAAGGACGCCTCTGGCAGCCACCTTATGACTCATGTCTGATCACGGAGTACAGCTACGATGGAAGGGTCAGTTAGTTAGGAGGGTAATCCCAACCCACCCTGTCAACTTTCCCTGTGGGAGAAAACCCGAGTTCACGAAGAAAACCCACGACTTTTGGCAGAGCGTTGACTGACTCTTTTCACATAAGCGTCATGAGTTCGCTGCGAGAGTCACCGAAGTCCGTCAGCGCCGAGGCCCACAAATAGTTCATATTCTGTACCTTCTAAGTCATCCAGCATGTCGACGTCATAATTTGTGCCTGCCTCAGAGCCTACAAAATTAATATTGCATACTGTAATATAGGCATACTGAAAACGTTATACATGTACCGTCCAGTGTTTATGCTTGTTGCCACTCAATTTACATTTTTTGATAACTTACATGTTTCTGATAAGTACAAACATAGAATGGAACAGAGATAACCAAGCATTTCAATTTTCTAAACGCGACAATTACGATGCGCATTCAAAACAAGTTAGTAGCTACTTACGTGGCAAATGGTTCGAAAGGTCCGTAATACATTCATCACTTTCTTTGTTTACTGATAACGAAAAGAAAGCGAATCAGAACATGCACTCAGGGTGTTAGCTAGCCGATATACTGTCAGTTTGACGGACTCTTCCCAATTGAAGTAGCTAAGGGGCTTTCCCAACTGGGTCTAAAGAGCGTTTTATTTACTTTTTCCCATTAACTATTTTCTCAAAATGTATCGCGTTTCATTCATATTGGATGTGTATTCACTGAAATGAAATGTACAAAACAAAGTGTAATCGGTGTGCATCCGTGTTCATTCACCGGAAACGAAATATACAAAACGAAGTGCCATCGGGTGCATTTTTCAGTGTTTATTCACCGGAAATGGAATGTACAAAACCAAGCTACCGTTGTTTGCATCTAAGGAGAAACACGTTGGAAAAAACACTATTTATTCAAACACAAGGACTTTGATCGGTCAAAAAAACTTTCCCAATTTACGTTTAACGGACAAAACCTTTTTTCTGGCTAACACCCTGGTACTCTACATATTCACCAGTGAAAAAACAAAGCTGAGAGCCGATGCAAGATACAGCTTGAACTCCTAATCGAACCTACGGCCCTGCGATTCCAGTGCAGCGCCCTAACCAACTGAGCTACAGAGAGATAGTTGTTGAGCTCTAACCAACTGAGCTACAGAGAGACAGTTGTCGAGATCTAACCAACTGAGCTACAGAGAGACAGTTGTCGAGATCTAACCAACTGAGCTACAGAGAGACAGTTGTCGAGATCTAACCAACTGAGCTACAGAGAGACAGTTGTCGAGCTCTAACCAACTGAGCTACAGAGAGACAGTTGTCGAGATCTAACCAACTGAGCTACAGAGAGACAGTTGTCGAGCTCTAACCAGAAGTTTGTGTATCATCTAACTTGAGAGAACTAATTATCTTCTTGTTTGATACTATATTCGATTATTTCTTACCTATAAGACTATTACTGCTATGGTCGCTGTCATTCAGCTCGTCCACTGCTTTGAGATGGCAATACATTAATTGCTCTAAAAAGCGAGAGAAGAACATACACTGTTAATTTGTTCACATCGTCGCTACCATTTCACAATTTTGGACAACCAACATGCCTAGTTACTGGTGTCCTACTTTAAGTATAGTTGCTTTGAGTAAGTGGGCACTGGGGGTTGCTAAGGCGTAAAAAATACCTGTGGTTCCGGTTTCATCTCGCGAAAAAATTAGGGTCGGCAGGTCGGAAATATATATATTTTTGAATATCTTTTTCATGGTTTTTTCAATAATTAGTGTGACAACAGACGTCATTTTGGCAGCAGCCCGCAACCACCCGGAGAAAATAGGGTCGCACGGTCAATCGCGTTGAAAAAATAATAGTGTAGGCAGAAAAAAATATAGGGTCAGTTGGGAACCGGAACCACAGGTATTTTTTCTTTACGCCTAATTATGCTTACTTGCAGCTGCAAGAGAGCTAAGCTCAATAGAGAATTCCCATTATAGACTAATTTTAAAACTAGGCAAAGAGATGCAAATAAATCACCACAGCTAGAAAGAGCTTACTAAAATTAGTAAAATTGCAAAGTTTGGTTGCGAAATGTTGTAAAACGCGGAAAATATAGCCTTGCAAAGTTCGCAAATTTTGTATACTTTCGTATTGCGTGCGGAAATTGCTACCACATTTGGGCTGAAAATGGTAGCAATTTCCGCACGCAATACAAAAGTAGAAACGGGCAGTTAAATCGTTAGGTATAAAAATTACATTTGTTTATACAAAGTGTTATGGTTCGCACTAACAATTTTGTCGGCGATTTTGTGTTTCTGACGGATGCAAATGAGTGAACTCGCACATAAAAGTATATGGAGTCGCTTTTCAGAAGTAAACAATTCTAAGACTTTTGCATGTCTTTCATTCGATCACATCTGCCAGAAGGAGAAAAATCGCCGACAGAATGGACCTATTCCCTAATGAACAAAATTTAGATCTAAACAAGTCTAGATAAACATTTCATCACAGCTTGAAAGAGCATCACAAAATTAGTAATATTCCAAAGTTTCGTTTCGAAATGTTGTAAAATGCGGATAATATAGCCCTGCGAAGTTTGCCGTTTTTCAGTCATTTTGTATTACCACAGTTAATAAAGTGGTATTACGCACGGGAAATTGATACCTTTTTTCAGAAAGCGGTATCAATTTCCCGCGCGTAATACAAAATGACTGAAAAACGGCAAACTTCGCAAGGCTGTATTATCCGCATTTTACAACATTTCGCAACGAAACTTTGGAATATTACTAATTTTGTGATGCTCTTTCAAGCTGTGGTGAAATTTTTGTCCAGACTTGTCTAGATCAAAATTTTGTTCATTATAAGGGAATAGGTCCATTGCTGTTGTGAATCAGGCTTTACCTTCTAGTTCTTCGATTTTTCCGCGAGTATGTTTCAAATCCTGTTCGGAGTTGAGAAGCTCATCTATATACAAATGCGACACAAACAACGGCAGTCAATAACGTGCTAAGAATCGCATCCAAAAAAGAATGAATATTGAAGGATCACATCCAAAAAAGACCACTTTCAATATACAGTATTACGTGTTTAATATAGCGTTACTGTTTACGCAGATATTGCATGTTTTGCCATACTTTTCAAGGATGGAAGTTCCGTGTCGTCGGCCTTCACTTCTCCGTTGTCGTACTCATCAAGTTTCGCTGCAAGAAATAACATCAGGCATTTGGCAATCGCAAAGATGATTTTCAGTTTTTTTTTTTTTTACTCAGTTTTATTATACATTTAATATATATGTATTCTCGTTTCTAATTGGTCAGAAAGCACCGGCTAATTTTCAATATTCGGCATTTATTACGTATTTTCCGCCGATGACGTCATCAGCGTCCAATAATTGTTTTTTTGGATCGAACTTGCATCCAAAAAAAATATTATTGGACTCTCTCGTGCCCAAACCTTTGCGCGGCCAAAAGCTTGAATCTATAAGCGCGCGAAAAACAAACAAAAAACAAACAATGGTCTACAGCAGATTTGCTTCGCTGAATGAAAGTGAACTCTCCAAATTATTGGCAGATAAGGATAGTAAAAGCACAAAAAAAGCCACAAAGGGGTAAATAGAAGTAGAATATTTAGCTGACCTTTGACTTTATGCAAGGCATACCTGTAGATTTTATTGTTGTGGAGGTAGCCAATCTTTAAATGGAGCTAGACTATGCCACATTCTCGTACCCAGAGCCCGTCTTACACGCGATCAACAGAGCATGACAAGGGTAGCAGGTACGATCGGCAGTTGCGCTGCATTTGCCGCAACTGCAGATCAAAATTTAGCCTCTGAACGACAACACAATGCCAAGTGTGCCAAGTATAGAAGTGCATTCTGAGAGTGCATTCTTGCAGTTATTCTAGTTATACAGTAACTCCGGGCTTAGATAACAAGCTCCAAAATGATTTTTGGAATTAGCAACACAGCAAGTAACTTCAAGCTTTATACATACCTAGCGGCTAGGCTGGCTTGCCTCGCTACACAATACTTTTTGGAGTTAGACAGTAACTCAAGGCTTAGGTACCTAGTAGTTTTTTCATGATTTTTGGAGTTATTCTTAGCTCCAAATGATTTTTGGAGTTAGCCAGTAACTCCAGGCTTAGATGCTTAGCACCTAAATGATGCTTAGCTGCCAAATTTGGAGTTATACCTAGCTCCAAACGATTTTTGGAGTTTGCCAGTAACTCCACAATTCATATTTCAACTCATACGTTTTGAATTCCACAAGTTATTCAAGTGTATATTTTGGTTGGAGTTGGCCCTTTATACTTTGGAGGTAGCGTCGCTCCATAACTTCCTACTTTCTACAGGCATGATGCAAGGTGTTTGATATTCAAATTGTACTTTTCCTACCTCATGAACAGGAATCGTTTTATACGTTTCTCATGTCTTTAAATGTATAATAAAACAATTATTGGATTCGGCTTTCGCATGATATCAAGAATAATTCTTGATATCATGCTCAGCCTCATCCAATAATTGCTTAATATATAGAGCCCGCTACAATTACGACTATAGCATTTCTATAGCGCAAATTTCCATGTGGATATGAAATGCGCTTTACATCAAGTATTACACGCTTACCTAATTACATACTTAGCTTATACTCAGTTTTATCTTTACAACAATTGTGATGTTATGTTTGTGATGTTACTCTGAGTGTATATCCACACCGCGGGCAAGCTTGAAAAATATGCCTGACCACGGTGGGAATCGAACCTACGACCTTTGGAATACCAGCCCAATGCTCGAACCTGTACATTAACTTTAGAGGGACACGTCGTAAAGACGCCCCTAAACTCCCCCACCTCCCCAGCATTAGGGAGCTTAAGCATGTAGGACGGTAACACCACGACGACGGCCAAAACAAATTCCTTCACATAAATGATAGTAAAGAAAACTTGTCGTATATTATAATTCGTATGAATTTAATACAGTATAAGATGCTGAAAACATTGGCTTTATGTTTGGGAAGAGTTCTACTGAACCGAATTTTAAGTTGCACTTGTTGCGGCTTGAAATGCAGGCGTTGTCTAAAAGACGTGAAAATCTGTGATTTGCCGTTGTAAACAGAGCGACGACTACGTCTGAATCTTCCCTGGGGACTTTATTTATTTATTTATTTTCATCGACTAATTGTATTGGTTGCCGTCATCGTCGTGTTGCCGTCCTACATGCTTAAGCTCCCCATTAAATTACAGAAAAATCCAGCCCTGTGTAAAGTTACCTTTGATTTGATTCACAGCTTCTTGCTTCGTTTTAGATTCGTCTTGTAACCGCTGTAGTTTCTCTATAAAATAGTTGAGATTACGGTACACGCAATTTGACGATGTTTAAGTATGCAAGTCAATGCAGTGTAGGTAGTATTCTACATCATTAAGCAGCCATCGTTTGTGTCTTTACCATGACAGTACAGTGTCTACCGGGTAGCCCAAAAAAATTTGCAGTTAGCCTTGCGTGGTCCAAACTTGCCCACTTCGCTTGAAGCTTGCAAATTGCGACAGGGGACCGGGCACCGAAGAACGTTTCTTGAGTTATGTTGCATATTGTCAAAATTGAGTGTCCGCTAATATGCTCAAACTCATTATTTTCAATAATATTCAATGAATGGAAATCAAGTAAGCTGACAACACGACTGTTCGAAGAAAATTCTCTCAAAAATTTTAAGTTTTTGATGGTATTATTTGATGAATTTACGTCTTGAGTACGACACTTATTAAATCTGGTCGGTAAATATTGCAAAATGTATTCGGAAATATTGAAATTTTCTACTTTACTTAAAGTGCCTATGACACGAAATTTCACCCCAAAGGTTTATGGTTGCATTGCAAAGATAACTTAAAATGACTTAATAATTTCTTTTATAGAATTTTGGTAACTTGCTCCCTTTTCAAGATATTCAACTTTGTTTCATATGCAAATATCACCGGTTTTCTTGACGAATACGTATCTAAAAAACTTAAAAATTGCCCTTGTATATGTATTAGTTTCATAACTGGTAATTAATTAACACACTGTATTTGTTTGTAAAAATATTTTATCAAGGTAAAATATTGCGTTTTCAAAATGTCATTATGCGATGTGATGTCACACCGGTGATATTTGCATATGAAACAAAGTTGAATATCTTGCAAAGGAAGCAAGTTACCAAAATTCTATAAAAGAAATTATTAAGTCATTTTAAGTGATCTTTACAATGCAACCATAAACATTTGGGGTGAAATTTCGTGTCATAGGCACTTTAAAAAACCGAATTACCTTTCAGTACTTGTATCGTTTCTTCGACAAGCGATAAGTCTCCTGGATTTTCTACAGTAAAAAAAATATTTCCTCATTACCGCAAGTGTACCATGTAGGCCTGGGGACATACCATGTACATGTACAACAAGGAAGAAAGATTGCTCTGGGCCAAAAAAAAAAATATGTGGGTTTCCGGTTTCTTCTTATAAAAACATAGGTAGGGTAGGTCGGTTTTAACTTTTTTTTTTAAACTTTTTTTTTAATTTTCCGAACAAGCGGACGCCATTTTGTTTAGTCAGTGCTTCCACATCCAAAGATAAATTTCCCTAATATTGCCTCAAATTTCAATTTTCCACAAACTTTTTCCTCTAAGTGGAAACACTTACAAGATGATCCAATAAAAAAGTTTAGGGTCGGGATTTCGACGTCCAAAAGCTAGGTAGGGTCGGGAAACCGGAAACCCACATATTTTTTTTTTGGCCCTGTCTTATTCTCGTACCTTTTTCGAAATCTTGTTCATGGTTTTGATTAATTTTCTTCTTCGATGCTTCTTTCTGTCGTTTCTCCATTTGAGCTAAAAAATCATGCCATTTGCGTTATAAGGGAGAGGACATTATTCTTGAGTGAGTAAAAGGTTGGGTAAATGAAAAACAAAACAACTCAAGGGTTGGGTAATAAAAATTTATTGTCATTTCCAAAGCATGACTCACTCAAATATTGAAGACTAAAAAGCAATGTGAACACTAGGCAATAGACCTTTCCCCTTATGAGTGAAATTTTGATCTAGATATGTCTGGGCAACAATTTCATCACAGCTTGAAAGAGCATCACAAAATTAGTAATATTCCGAAGTTTTTTTTTGGTTTTTTTTTATATAAACTTTATTAAAATGTTTGCCTCAAAAGCCATAGGTTTATCAAGGAGGCTCACACGAACTTACATATAAAAAAGTTTCGCTGCGAAATGTTGTAAAATGCGGATAATAATATAGCCTTGCGAAGTTTGCCGTTTTTCAGTCATTTTGCATTACAATCTAACATTTAGCATCAGTTTGATCATCTGATTATCAATTTCCCGTTTGTAATTCCAAATGACTGAAAAACGGCAAACTTCGCAAGGCTATATTATCCGACCTTTGTCCAGACTTGTCTAGATCAAAATTTCACTCAAAAGGGAAAAGGTCAATTAGAGTCACTATCTTGATCGTTTTCCGATTTGCCAAGAGGCAAATGGTGTCTCCAAAGAAAGTACAAGTGCAGACAACATGAAACTTTAGACTGCAGAAAATTGCACAATCAGTTAACAAACTTGGCCAGCGGTGGGTATTTATTTTTTATTTAATATTTAAGGTTGGGTAAAATTTTGTTTGACTTTTTTATGGTTGGATCTCATATTTTCTTTGACTTTTGCATTTGTCTTCAGTACCACCCCTCCCCCCGCGGTCCCCAAGATGACAATAGTTATCCCCACACTAAAAATTTATGCACATATAAAAAAGGACCAACCTCGCATTGCTACCAATTGTTCTTTACGAAAATCGCATTCAGCTTGCAGTGATTCTAACTATATATTAGGAAAATGAAATAACAATGAGAAAAGAGAACATTCTTGTTCGTCCTATGAGCAATGACAAACAAAGAACCACGCAAAGAACTAGTCAAAGCAAACATCTTTTTAATTTTTACCCGAGATATATATTCCACTTCTTTCTTCGAAGAGATATTTAACTTTTCATTCGTACTCTCGCGTTCCTTGGTCATCTGAAACACAAAATAAAATAAGGGCGCTTGCCATTAATACGGCCAGACCGACCAGTCAAGTTTTTGAATGGAACACAAAACATTTGGGCTTCAGACCTGCTGTACATGTATCTGGACGGAAAATTTAGATAACATTAGAATGAGGTCCATTTTCGCTAGATATTTGAGAAACATAGACCAGATCTTTCCATTGATACAGAGAAGAGAATTCGGATCTCACCGGTCAGGTCATTAAATGGAAAGCGCCCTAAGATTCTTCCTAAGATTATAACGAGCAGAACTTTCAAGGTTTTCTAATTTGTGGTAAGGGATATATAAATAAATGAGATATAGATGTAGTCCAATATTTATTAATCAATAAAAAATAAAAAAACAAGTAAGATATAGAACATTGGATAGTTAACAATTATTCGCCGAAGGCGAGGTGATTATCGGTGAATAAAAACCGAGACGAAGTCGAGGTTTTTATTCACGATAATCACCGAGCCTGAGGTGAATAATTTTTTTAGTATAATTTCATAGGTGATTATATGGAAAAAATAAAAAAATACACATTTCTTCGTCATTTAATTGACAAAACGGCTTCGGCCGCCATTTTGAAAATCGCTTAGGTGATTATCGCGTAATAATCACCTCAACGGCAACCAATCAGCGTGGAGAATTTTCAATAATCACCTATGTAATTATACTAATATTAGATATTATTATACTGGCTTAACATTTAAGAATATGCGGGGACAGAGCGTTGTTATTTTATTTAGTTAATATTTAGTATGTGGTGGTTCTGTAGTTTCGTGTATGCAGACAATATAGTTTATTCTTTGTATAGTTTTACGTACAGTACTGTCGAAGGGCAACGAAATACAGTATATACGAGTAAAAGATTGGTTTATATCAAGGCGTTGTCTACATACGGTTTAGTAAACCTAGCCGCATTTTGAGTCTCATCCTTCACAAGTTCATTCATAGATATTTATCTTCAACACCAAATACACAAAGTATGTAGAGTACCTGCTCATCAAGAGCAACATGTCTTCGTTCTGATTTGTCAAGTTGGTCTCGGAGGGATTTCATATCTTCTAGCCTCTAATGAATGTAAAAATATAAAATGTACATACACTCTGTCTTCGAGATCAGCATATTCAATATTCATCTCTCACTTAGAATTGGACGGTATTTAAAAAAAACATCATATCATGATTATCGTCTAGGAAATTATCACGCACAATATTTGATAATATCGCGATAAATGCAATAAAAATAATGAAAACACGGTTTCAATTTTAAGTAATGTTAAGAACATAACAAGCTAGTAGCTACACTAACAACTTAATATAAATAAAATATTTAAACCATGGCCTCTTTACACAGTACCTGTCTATGGTTTGCAGCTAAATCCTCCAGTTCGTGTTGGGCTCTTTCATAAAGCGATTGATAATGACTGCACTCGTCTTCGGCATTGCTGTATGATTTCTAGAAATTACACACACACATTCCGTAAATATATTGAACTGCAGGGAAAACTAATATATTAATGGGATGGATCTAGCATGATCTGATGGGTTCTCTGCCAGCTCTGGTACAGAGTTGTGTTGGTCATGTGTGCCGCCAGGGCGCAGTAAAACAGTGTTTTACTGCGCCCTGGTGCCGCCCACCCATCAACTTGCTTGACTACTGCAAAGTCTTGCTTGACTACAGTATTTGAATTGTAATTGTTGTTCACAGTTCGCTTATCATCATGTTATTACTCAAATCACTGTATCTCATGTTGTCTCTAATGAGTTTTTGCTTTATCATGAAAAATAGCATTCCCCCTGCCCCCCTCTGCCCAGGGCTAAGGGGGGGGGGGGGTGCACCCCCCACCCCCAGTAAATCCATCCCTGAAATATGACAGTAAACGTGCCCTGACCTCAAGCTGAGAAATTTTCTCAATGGCTTGTAACTTTTCTTGCGTAATTCTCCGTAACCCTTCCTGAAAAAAAGTCATTGATTGTATTCGACAATTAGAAATAATTAGCGGTGAATTAGTAATTAGTTTGAAGATGCTTGGAAAATGTTTTAAACAGTAACCATACTTTGGCAGCCATTTCATATCTGTTTTTGTCTTCATGGAGTCTTGTTATTTCTTGTTTCAACTCATCTTCAGTACAGTTCTAAAGAAACAAAGAGGTTACAAAGAACAGGCCCCCTAACTAGCTATGAGTCAACCGAGTCGGTTGACTCGGTAAGTCTTTTTGTGAAAAATTCAAAACAGGAAGACTTAAAGTTTAGAGAAAACAGATCTTGAATGAAATTTATTCAATTTCTAATGAATGGGTAGAAGTACGAATTAGCGTCCCAAATATTACAACAAACACGTTTTTTATTATGCGCCTGATCGTGTTGGACCAAGAGTACTTGAATTCTTATGATTGGATACTTGTAGTACAATTGTGAGACACACTATGACATTATAGTCACTGTGTCACTGTTTATGGATTGGATTTTTTGTTAAAATTGCTCCCAGAATGCAGGAAATTGCGTTTCTAAGCCTTAACCTGAAGACAGTTGAAATGCGAGCTACAGTACATGCAGGATATCATGTGAAAAATGTTCTTGAAGACTTGAACCCAAAACATAAATTGTGTCGTTTCAGGAAAGATCCACACCCCACATATGGAGGAAATTTCAGCCAAGGTGACAAGATAGGCCATACTTTCCTCATTTTACAACATTTCGCAACGAAACTCTGCAATTTTACTAATTTTAACATGCTCTTTCTAGCTGTGGTGATGGATTTCTGTTTTCTTGCCTGGATAAAAATTTAGTCTATAGCTGAAATTGCCCATTGTGTAAAAACCCCCTTGGTCATACAGAGGACCACTATTTGTCAAGCGTGTTTGTTTAGGACTGCCAATGGACCATTCCCCAATTAACCAAAATTTCATCACAGCTTGAAAGAGCATCACAAAATTAGTAACATTCCAAAGTTTCGTTGCGAAATGTTGTAAAATGCGGATAATATAGCCTTGTGAATTTTGCAATTTTCAGTCATTTTATATCACAAACGGGAAATGGTTACCACTTCTGTGCGTAATACAAAATGACTGAAAATTACAAACTTTTCAAGACTATATTATCCGCATTTTACAACATTTTGCAACGAAACTTTGGAATATACTAATTTTGTGATGCTCTTTCAAGCTGTGATGAAATTTTTGTTTAGGCTAGTTAAGATCAAAATTTTGGAAAAGTGGTAACCATTTGCCGTTTGTAATCTAAAATGACTGAAAATTGCAAATTTCGCAAGGCTATATTATCCGCATTTTACAACATTTCGCAACGAAACTTTGGAATATTACTAATTTTGTGATGCTCTTTCAAGCTGCGATGAAATTTGTATTTAGGCTAGTTAAGATCAAAATTTTGGAAAAGTGGTAACCATTTCCCGTTTGTAATCTAAAATGACTGAAAATTGCAAATTTCGCAAGGCTATATTATCCGCATTTTACAACATTTCGCAACGAAACTTTGGAATATTACTAATTTTGTGATGCTCTTTAATGCTATGATGGAGTTTTGACTAGGCTTGTTGAGATCAAAATTTTGGTTAATTGGGGAATGGTCCATTAACCAATAGTGCAAGACTGAGATTGACATGGGTCTGGACATCATCTGAACTCTCTCCTAAGCCAGATGAGTAGCTGA